AATGGTTTTAAAAAGAAAATTTAGTATGTGTATATATATATAAGTGTGGAAAGTAAAAGTGATTATATGCGCATGATAGTAGCATAATCATGATAGTAGGTAGGAGTTCACCCACTGTGTGTGGTGGAGATGTGTATATAAATAAAATCCATATGGTTGGGTCAATACCATAAGACATTTGGTGTGGCATATTATTTGGAACTATTACCATAGAACATTCAAGTAGTTTGGCAACTCCTTAGTACCCGTGAGGGTGCAGTTAAGAGTTAATGACACCCTCATCATTTATGTGTGAAATGGGAAAAACCATAGTTCAAAAGTAGGATAGAATACCTTCAGCAAGGTGTTTCTACTATGGAAGGTGTGCTCGGATCGATATGTGGTTAGTCTAATTGAGTCTATGGTTTCAGTCAAGGAACTTGGAGGACTAGTAGATGGATAATTATGATAACATGTGATTGGATTTATTAAAACGTGGCTATAAATGATAGATATAATTAATAATTGTCAATACTATAATGGCTTTGTTTACTTGTATGTTTTCTCATCCTTGGTTATTCATATTTTTTAGAATCTAATATTAGGATCTCGAAAGGAAAAGAATTAGGTCGAGATTAGAGGATCTCCTATTAACCCAATTACGGTTGGTATAATGAATATGATTGTTGTAAATTATGAATTGCTTATAGGTTGCCATAGGATTGTATATATATAAGCATGTCTATGTTGATGCAATTGTGTATAGGTCTATACAACCTAGCCCTATAACTTGTATATTTGTGTCTTGGTGATAAATACTAAACAAGGGCTAGGGTAATATTACATTTGTAAATGTGATTGTGTTTGGTGGAAAAGGGTCTGAAGTTTGGCCCTGTGTGTAAGAATGTGTGTGAAAAGTGTGAATTTTTCATAGTGTGAGTAATTGGTAGTTCAGTTGCCTAACTTGTGTGTGTTCATGATGTTATTTATATAATTGGTCAATTAGGTGTGGAATGTCCTATTACTTGTAGTCAAGGCCATAGAAATGGCCAATAGCATTTAGTTTGAGATTGAGGTGCTCGAGTGAGTGAAAATGACTTAAATCTGTCATTTTGCATTTAGGTGTTCGATTTTCAAAGGAAATATTGGATTTAAACAAAACTTATGTCATTAGTTAAATTTTGAAATGAGCTTCATGTAGATGCTTGAATCATTTTAATCGGATATTGGATACAAAAATGGTGCACGTTGGAAGTTGTGCCCTATAAATACTTCCATAGGTACTAGTTCCTATGTCATTCTTGATATCAAAGTCCTCTGTTGCTTCAATGATATCTTCTTATGCCATTTTACCATCATAATTCCATATGGAAAATAAATCTCCATTCCTTAGTTTTCTTCTCTCAATTTTAGTTTTCTTGTTCTTCTTGAAAGATTGAAAAAGGATGAAACCAAAAACAAAGAGGATGATGACAAGAAAAGTTGCAATAGGAAGAATGATCTTCATATAAGAATACAACGCTTCATGATTAGAGCAAGAATGATTCTTTTCTAGACAAAGTAACTCTTTGTTACCATTTAATTTGTCATGAGTAAATTTGCAATATATTCCCTTGGGACATGGCTACTAAGGAACTTGTATGACAAGTTGTTGAATTCTATCTGACCAAGCTCTTATGGTATGTTACTGGTGATATTATTGTAGCTCAAATCAATGCATGACATATTTGGATATTTGCACGAGCTAGGTGGTGTCTTTTCACTAATCATGTTGTGGCTGAAGTTGGCAACTAAAAGTAACCAAGATTGCAAGTTTTGTGAGAGATCTAGAGTTTTAAGATATAAGAGATCTCCAATATCTCAAGGAATGATTCCATATATCTTGTTTTTTGATAGATTGAAAATATCTTTAATCGAAGGAATAATGCTAGAATGATTTTTGTAACTCAAGTTAAAAGTATCCAAACTTGTTAGGTTCTTAATGTCTTAAGGTACGAGACTAATGAATTGATTGCAAGAAAAATCAATAATCACTAATTTTTCAAAATTAAAAATTGAAGAAGGTATCTCTCCAGTGAACATATTTGAAGACAAATTCAAATATCTAAGAGTGGTTATAAGACCCAAACGTCAAGGAATGGCTCCACCAAACTTATTTCCACTCAAGTACAATCTTTCTAAATGAGTGAGGTTATTGGTAAACTAGAAGGCATCTCTCCTATAAGTTTATTATTAACAAAGTATAGAAAAGTGAGATTTCAAAGAGATGACATCTATGACATCCTAATTTTCGAAGAGATGCTACATGCTCAATTTTTCTATGCCGTACACCGTAGCATGTGACACCATACGTTGCGACGCACCTGTCCAATTTTCTACTATCATTTTGACAGCAAAAATAATGAATTTCCAGCATGCACCATTTTCACATATGACATCCGATTAGAGTGATTTAAGTACCTACATAAAGTTTAGCTCGTATGCTAATTAATGAGATATGTTTAGACAGGATCTAACTATCTGATCAAAATTTAGACACCTAGGTGCAAAAAGTCACTTTTTTTGAAAAATTCAAGCACCTACACAGTGGGACGTTATTGACTCCAACACCATATCATAAAAATACTAAGTAGTCTCTTATCTCCAATACTGTACCTCAATAGGCACTAAGGAGATCTTCTCTAACGTCGCACCTTTCAAGGCATTAAGGAGAATTGTTTCCAACACCGTACCCTATCAAGTACTAACAAAACTTTGCCATATGGTCTTTATCATCTCCTATACTTGGGAGAACTCCCACACCTATGATCGTGCTTTTTTAAACCATTTAAGGTTCCCGTCTGCCATTTCACACTTTCTTACATATAACATATACATATAATAATTTACATTTGAAATCATATATTTCAATGCTTTATTTCAATCAAAAACTATTTCACACAACTATGACTCAATGATATAAAACATGCTCAATTTAAAATCATTTCATGCACTACATGGCATATTAACATTTAGTTACAATAAATAGTCAAATAAAGAAAGTTATTCAGTTATCTCAGCCCTTTTATCACTAGAAAGGTTACTCGTGCATTTCAACTATCACACAAGCTTATCTCAAGCTTCCTTCCTCTACTCATGCGTCTAATATGCTAATTTGAACACATTTGGCACATTTTAGTCATTTGATCTATTTTGACCAGAAACTCAATTTTTACTACTTAGAGCTATATTTATTCATAAACTCTTTTTCATTTATCCATTCTAGATCCATGAGTACCCAATTACTACTTTAAATTACCTCAGTTGGCCTTATTTCACTCAAATAAGATTTTGGCCCTAACTTTCTCTCTCTAAGGGCTAAAATTGAGCCTACGAGTTTAAAACTCTATCGTTCAGCTTAAACCAATCACAAAACTCTAAATTTAACTTCTATGAACCTTTTTATTACTATTGAGCAAGAAGAAAACCCCTCAAATTTCATTGATTCAAATTCTCTATAATTCATTTTCAGAGAAATTTGTGTAGAATAGAAGGTAAGAGTTATACATAGCTTACCTGATAAGTTGTCGATCCAAATCACCTTCTAATGACCTCAAATGGCTTGAATTGGCTTCTCGGCCCTTCATCTCTCCTCTCTCATATGTTTCTTAGATTTTTACTTCTAAAAATCACCATATTTCATGACTTAAGAAGTGATTTTCTAGTCCATATGTCATGGCCCATGCAGCACAAGCTGCGGCAGGTGGCACAGTAAGATCTATTCTCACCACGTGCACTTGCTTCGACCTGAAATGTACTTTTATCACTCATATCTGTTTATGGAACACAAAAACAAGTTAAAATACCAATTAATCATCTGAATCTCTAATCCCACACTAATTTTCACTCTACCCTCGATTAACCTCTAAACTCAGGATTAAGAAATTCAGGATGTTACAGTTCTTCCTTCCTTTTAAGAAAATTTCCCCTAAAATTCATAAAAAGAAATAAATATATACCTAAGGAAAATAGTTAAGGATACTGTTGCCTCATTCTATCCTCTGTCTCCCATGTAGCATCACCAGGGGCCATGCCTCACTAGAAAATTTTAACTAATCATATGGTCTTATTCCTCAATTGCTTCTCTTTCATATCTATGATTTGCTTTGGCTCAGCTTTATAAGTTAAATTCTCTTGGAGTTCAATCTCCTCCGGTTCTATCAAGTGTAAAGAATCAGGTTGATATTTCTTGAGCTACAACACGTGAAACACTTTAAGCACACCTGATAACTATGGTGGCAAGGCTATTATATAGGCAACTAGTTTAATTCTCTCTAGAATCTTGAAAGGACCAAAGAATCGAGGATTCAATTTCTTGGCTCTTATCAATCTCCCGATTGTCATCACTGGTGTAACCTTTAGAAACACATGGTCTCCTATCAAGAACTCTAACGGCCTTCTTTGCCTATCCACGTAACTCTTTTGCCTACTCTGAGCTGTCAATAACTTTTTCCTGATCAACTCAATCTTTTGAGTCATCTGAACCATAATATCTGGTCCCAATATACTCCTTTCACTCAACTACTCCCAATATATGGTGCCATTTGTATACTGGAGTGGTAACTATTATTGTAAGCAAACTCAGCTAAATGAAGATGGCTATCCCAACTACCTTTTAGCTCCAATACACAGGATCTCAATATATCCTCTAAGGTCTATATGGTCCGTTCTGTCTACCCATAAGTTTGTGGATGATATGCCGTATTGAATCTCAACTTAGTACCTATGGCACACTATAAAGCTCCCTAAAACTTAGAAGTAAATCTTATATCTCTATTGGAAATTATATTCTTCAGCACACCATGTAGCCTTACCACTTCTCGAATATAAATCTCTGCCAACTTTTCTAGAGAATCACTAATCTAAATCGCTAAGAAATGAGCCAATTTAGTAAGTCTATTGACTATGACCCAAATGGCATCATGTCCAGATTAAGTTCTTGGTAACCTAGTAATAAAATCCATGGAAATGCTCTCCTATTTCTACTTAGGAATATCCAATAGTTGTAACATTCCTGCTGGTCTTTGGTGCTCTACCTTAACCTTTTGACAGGTTAAACACTGAGTCATAAACTTCATTACATCTTTCTTTATACCAGGCCACCACCAATATCGCTTCACGTCCTGGTACATCTTTATAGCTCTCGAATAGATCGTGTACTTACTACAATGAGCCTCACTCAATATGATGTTTCTCAATTCAACATCATCAAGTACATAAATTTTGTCCCTGTAAATCACAAAACCATCATCACTAAAACTAAAATTAATAGCTTGATCTGCTTCAATCTCTTCTCTAATCCTTAAGAAACTCTCATCTTTTAGTTATGCCATTTTCAATTCTTTCCAAAAATCATTGCTAATTTCAGTAGAATAGGTACCAACTAATGCCTTCAATAGTGCATCTTACTACGACTCCACAAAAGACTCTATCAATCTGTATATTATTACACTATTAGATTTGCCACATGCAAAGTCTTCAGGCTTAAAGCATCAACAACTACATTAGCTTTACCTGAATGGTATTTCAATTCAAAGTTATAATCATTAAGAAGCTTCATCCATCTCCTCTGCCTCATATTCAGCTCTTTTTGATCTATCAGGTATTTCAAACTCTTATGATCGCTAAACACAGTGAACATTGCACCATATAGGTAATGGCGCCAAATCTTTAGAGCAAACACCATCGTTGTAACTTCTAAATCATATGTAGGATAGTTCTCTTCATGTAGTCTCAATCGTCGAGAAGCATAAGTTACAACCCGACTATCTTGCATCAAGACATAACTAAGACCTCTAAAAGATGCATCCATGTATATCTCGTAAGATAACCTTGGATTAGGGATAATAAACATTAGTGCTGTGGTTAATTTCTCTTTCAGCTTTTGAAATGCCAGTTCACACCGATCATCCTATATATAAGGCTGATCTTTTCGAGTTAGCTTAGTTAAAGAAGAAGCTATCTAGGAAAATCCTTGGATAAATCATCGATAATACCCAGCTAATCCCAAAAAATAATGTATCTCTATGATTGAACTAGGATGTTCCCATTTCAACACTATATCAACCTTATGCAAATCCTCTAAAATTCCATCTGCAAACATCACGTGTCCTAAAAATCTCACTTCTCTTAACCAAAACTCAGACTTACTGAGCTTGGCATATAACTTTTTGTCTTTTAGAATCTGCAGTATTATTCTCAAAAGCCTTGTATGTTGCTCCTTGTTCTTAGAATATATCAGGATGTCATCTATAAAAACCACTACAAACTGATCTAAGTACTGCCTAAAGATTCAATTCATATAATCCATAAATATTTCTGGCGCATTGGTGAAACCAAATGGCATAACCAATAATTCATAATGGCCATATCGTGTCCTGAATGCTATCTTGGGTACATCTATTACACTAACCATCAACCAATGATACCTCAACCTCAAGTCATTCTTAGAAAAGACTGAGGCACCAGTCAACTAATCTAAAAGATCATCTATCCTTGGTAGAGGATACTTGTTCTTCATAGTTGCCTTGTTTAATTGTTGGTAATTAATGCACAGTCACAAACTGCCATCCTTCTTTACTATAAACAATACCGGTGATCCCTAAGGTGATACACTTGGTCTAATGAATCCCTTCTCTAGCAAATCTTCAATTTGTTTCTTTAACTTAGCAAATTCTAATGACGACATTCCATAAGGGACCTTTGATGTTGGTTCAGTTTTAGGAACTAAATCAATTGAGAACTCAACTTCCCTTTCAGGAGGTAATCCAATCATTTCTTCTGAAAACACCACAAGGAACTCACTTACTATCCCAATCTTCTCAATTCTACTATCATACACCGTACTGGCTATAAAGAATACCATATAGGCATCATAGCCTTGCCAAATTAACTTCTCAACACTTACTACCAATAGGAACTTAGGTTGTTCTGAGGATTTCATGGCTGCACACAACACCGGTAGTGAAACCACCCTTCTGGCATAATCAAGCATAGCATTATTCGCTGTTAGGCAATCTATGTCAATTATCACATCTATTCCTCTCATAGGAATACAAATCAGATCGATCTTGGTAACTCTATCCTCAAATTAAATCTCTATATTCTGACAAGCTCGACTTGTAATACTAAATGATCCAGAAGGCATCGTTACTTTAATAAGCACAAGCAATTCTTATAAAGACAATTTCAATCTATCCACACATTCCTTAGACACAAATGAATGGGTGGCACCTAAATTAAACAATGCCTCTACTTTGTGACTATTAACAGAAATCATACCTCTGATTAGGTTCAGAACGCTCTGGCCTTTTCTTATATAACTGTGAATACTCAATCAGGAACTATTGATCTCTACTCAGTTCCCTTGATTCTACCTTCTGGGCATTGCCTCGCTATATGAACTAACTTACCACACTTGTAGCAAGCCCAACATCTTCTTGGATGAGATTTGCCTTCCAGTACTCAAAGTCAAAGTTGAAACATTTGATGCTTGCCTCAATGACTGTGAAGGCCCAATTCTCACACCTCTAGCCCTCTGCATTGACCCTCTATGCATAGGTCAAGATTGAGATCCTCTACTAAAACCTTTTCTCCCAAAAGAACTAGAACTACTCGTACTAAACCCAAGCCTTTTTGAGATTCCACCAATTCAATGCAAATGAGATGAGAACCTCCCCAAACTATCTTGCCTTTTCTTAGCATCTACCTCTTTACCATGCCTAGCTGCTACCCTCATCTTATGGCACATCTCCTTATATGTCATCATATCAAGCAGTGCTATCTATTACTGGTACTTGAGTTTCATCTTTTCAAGCAATCTCTTAGCCTTCAACTTCGAGTCATTACTATGCTGGAGATATATGGAGTAAGCTGATAAATCTTCTTATGAACTCTTCCTCATCTAGGTCTCCCTGTTTGAAGGCATGAAATTCCTCTTCCTTCTCAATTCTAAATGAGACTAGGAAGTGTTGATCAAAGAATACTCTCTTGAATTCATCCTAGCTCAACTGAATACTATTAGTTGGTCTCATTGATTCCCACAATCTTTTAACGGCACTAACCAACTGCACCATGGCTAAGATGGTTTCTATTCGCTCTATTCTGCTTCACCCTCTCTCATGCTACTATCAAATGTCGACAGGTTGAACCAAAGAAATATCTTCCAAGCATGATCAATAGACGGATCAGTGCCAGGAATCTCTAGTTTGCTACTCGAATTTCAAGACAGTCTAGGTCTACTATGTGCTTCCTCACACACTGGGATATTCTGAGCTTTAACTCTCTTTTCTTGCTCTCTACCCTATAGGATCGTATCATGATCCCTTACAGTTTGTCTTATGTCAACCACCATATCCTTAAGCTCTTCTAGTAGCTCATCACGTCTATCCCTTTGTAGATGAACCGATTGAACCTTCGACTCTTGCCTTCCTCTACAATCTATTTAGACACAGCAGTTCTAGCACAAGTGCCTCTCATATTGTACTATTTTCTCCCCTCCTAAAGATGAAAATATGAAACACAAAAGACATCAGGGAAAGAGTTATGTAATGAACAAGGATAAGTTTCCATATTTCTAAATGAATACATCAATGACAATTAGGTATCGAAACTCGAGAAATTGATACTAAAATGTAACCTTCCCTATACATCCACTCAATATAGGAGAAGATTACGGTGTTACCACATTACTCACAATAATCAGTAAATAAATGTTTCGTTTGAAAAAGCTTGGGCCCAAGACTATTTTACAAATCCATCCCAAATCACAATACAATCAATGAAAAACACAGTAGAAGTAATATGCATATTAGTGCAACACGTAGTGGATATAACCTCATTTCCAATGCATGCATTTTCATCACAAAATTAAGCTGAGATTTGGTCCGTGTGCCATGGTGCATAGTACATGTGCCATGACATGTGGCATAAAGCCATGCATTCAATTTTTTTGTGTCATATGCTATGGTGCACTTGTCTGATTTTCTACTGTCATTTTGACGGCAAAAATAACAAACTTTTGGCTACACCATTTTCACATATGACATCTTATTGGAGTGATTCAAGTTCCCACATGAAGCTTAAGTCGTATGCTAACTAATGAGATATGTTTGGACACAATCTAATGTTCCAATCAAAATTTAGACACCCGAGTACAAAAAGTCAATTTTTTTGAAAAACTTGTGCACCCAAGCACTCAAATCGATCCTTTTCACTCATTAAACCTTATTGAGCCTTGAACTAAGTCCAAAGGATTCAATATACCTTATTGATAATAATATATCTCAACCATACTCATATATCAAAATTTGACTCTTTAATGGCTAATTTCCACAATTCACTGACTTTACACACTTTGCCATTTCTTGGCATAACTTAGATCACTTGGCTATTTCTTACCACATTCATACTTATTCATGTTCATAATATAATCTTAGCCCCCAAATTACTCATTTCATCATAATTTGTCCCTTGACTTAAGATTTACCAACACACATTCATTTCAACACAATATTCTCAAATCATAGCCCCTTGTTTCAATCAACACATATACACATTATCAGGCTAGATTTCACAAAATCACTATTCAAATCATGCATGCAACCCTATGGTAGCTCATTTACACTGATATATACAATCTTTGTTTAGTTCATTACACAAACTCAGAGTACATGGATTCACAACTCAAGCCAATCTAAACTCTCTTCCCATACCCAGATTACTTCCCGGTCTTGTAAACATGTAACCATGGGGGTGAGATAAAAATCCCAGTAATAGAATAACTTACTCCTATTCACTATCACATACAACAATATTAAAGTAAACATAATATGTCATTAAAACCTCATAAAATAACATTTATATCACATATCTCATTTCATTCTCAACTTCTCATTAAATCATAAGATTTCATGTCATCTCAAAGCATATCTCATCATATCACATAGCATGCTAGCATGATCACTACTAACCGATCCTCCAATTCACCTCGACGTGAAACCATAAGCTTATCTTAGACTAATGTACACTCTCATTAGCCTTGAGCTCACCTGTAGTGGTAAAATCACCCAACCAAAGATATTTTAATGCACAGTATGGACTATGGTTTCCCCCTAATATACATAATAGGCACTAAGGAGATCTTCTCCAACACCGTACCTTTCAAGGCATTAAGGAGAATTGTTTCCAACACCGTACCCTATCAAGTACTAAGAAAACCTTACCATATGATCTTTATCATCTCCTATACTCAGGTAAACTCCTACCCCTATGATCATGCTTTTCCGAACCATTTAACATTCCCATTTGCCATTTTATACTTTCTTACACAAACCTTATACATATAATACTATACATTTGTTCAATGCTTTATTTCAACCAAAATATATTTCACACAACAATGACTCAATGCTATAAAACATGCTCAATTTAAAACCATTTCATGTACTAGATGGCATATTGACATTTAGTTACAATAAATAGTCAAATAAAGAAAGTTATTCAGTTACCTCAGCCCTTTTGTCACTAGAAAGGTTACTCGTGGATTTCAACTATCACACAAGCTTATCTCAAGCTTCCTTCCTCTACTCATGCGTCTAATATGCTAATCTGAACACCTTTGGCACATTTTAGTCATTTGATCTATTTTGACCAGAAACTCAATTTTTACTACTTAGAGCTATATTCATTCGTAAATTCTTTTTCATTTATTCATTCTAGATCTATGACTACCCAATTACTACTTTAAATTACCTCAACTGGCCTCATTTCACTCAAATAAGATTTTAGCCCTAATTTTCTCTCTCTCTAAAATTGAGCCTACAGGTTTAAAACTTTACCATTCAACTTAAACAAGTTGCAAAACTCTAATTTAACTTCTACGAACCTTTTTATTACTATTGAGCAAGAAGAAAACCCCTCAAATTCCATTAATTCAAATTCCCTATAATTCATTTTCAGAGAAATTTGTGTAGAATAGAAGGTAAGAGTTATACATAACTTACCTGATAAGTTATTGATCCAAATCACCTTCTAATGACCTCAAATGGCTTGAATTAGCTTCTCGACCCTTCACCTCTCCTCTCTCATATGTTTCTTAGATTTTTACTTCTAAAAATCACCAGATTTCACTACTTAAGAAGTGATTTTTTGGCCCATGCACCGTGATGCATGCAGTATAAGCCACATTGTGTGGCACAGTGAGGTTTATTCTCACCACACATACTTGTTTCAAATTGAAATGTAATCTTATCACTCATATCTCTTTATACAACACATAAACAAGTCAAAATACCAATCAATCATCTGAATCTCTAATCCCACACTAATTTCTACTCCATCCTCAATTAACCTCTAAACTCAGGATTAAGAAATTTAGGATGTTACACATGGTGAGAACTTTTCTTCACTGTGCCATGTGCTATGGCATGAGCTGCATGTGCTATGGTGCATAACACAAAATTTGGCTAGTAAATACATGGATAGCTGATAGGTTATATTTGTTACACACTTTTTTTAGATATTTAGGACCATATTTCATGGTAAGAAATCCTAAAATGTGCATTCTTAGTGTTAAATTAATGTTTTGGGCCTTAGTAAGAAAGTATGCATATTAGGGATATTTTGGTCATTTTGACTTTGTTGGGAATTCAATGTCAAATTTGGAATTTGATGTGTGCATTAGTTTTAAGTCCATTAGACACTTTTCTTAGGTAATTAGGACCACTTCTATATGTTATTTTAAGTCCATTAGACGCTTTTCTTAGCTAATTAGGACCACTTCTATATGTTAAGAGTCTTCATATGCATTAATATCACATTCTTAGTGCAATTTTGCTTAAGTGTTCAAATACATGCATTAAGGGTAATTTGGCCATAAAATGCACTTTTCACAAAATTAGGATTAATCTAGAGGTTTATGTCTTTTAATGAGCTAAGGCGATTGGTCTAATTAATTTTTATTAATCTATCCTTGATTAAGAGTGATTAGAAAAAGACAATGTTTTAAGGTTGTCTCCTTTTAATTTTGGTTCAAGTGTGTGCTTGTTT